TCCTCAATATTATATCATCACATTATCGGTCACAGCACACTGTACTACTGCCCCGCCCCCTTTCAAAAATCCATCCAATAGGGAGCGGTGTTACATGCAGGGCTCCTCCTCCCCAGGGTGCCCAGTGCAAGGTGAGCCCAGTCAGCCACATCCTGCTAGAACATGCTACATGTGAGGAGAATCCTGAGCCAGTCCTGTGCTGGGTGAGTATGTGACCAATGCCCGACCACCCCCTTCCCCAGCCTGGTACTCCCCGGGATGAGGTCACGTGATCATCAATGACAGCTGCACACTACCCTGCTGTGCCCACATACTGCCCCCTTCCTTGCTGTGCCCATATACTGCCCCCTTCCTTGCTGTGCCCACATACTGCCCCCTTCCTTGCTGTACCCACATACTGCCCTTCTGTGCTGTGCCCACATACTGCCCTTCTGTGCCCACATACTGCCCTTCTGTGCCCACATACTGCCCTTCTGTGCTGTGCCCACCTACTGCCCTTCTGTGCTGTGCCCACATACTGCCCTTCTGTGCTGTGCCCATATACTGCCCTTCTGTGCTGTGCCCACATACTGCTCTTCTGTGCTGTGCCCATATACTGCCCTTCTGTGCTGTGTCCACATACTACCCTTCTATGCTGTGCCCACATACTACCCTTCTGTGCTGTACCCACATACTGCCCTTCTATGCTGTGCCCTTACCAATATGCTGCCCTTCCCAGCTATGCCCACATACCACCCTGCTGCGCCCACATACTGCCCTTCTGTGCCTATATACTCTCTTCTGTGCTGTGCCCACATACTGCCCTTCTGTGCTGTGCCCACATACTGCCCTTCTGTGCTGTGCCCATATACATGCCCACATACTGCTCTTCCCTGCTGTGCCCACATACTGCTCTTCCCTGCTGTACCCATATACAACTTTTCTCTGCTGTGCCCATATACAGCTCTTCTCTGCTGTGCCCACATACTGCCCTTCTGTGCCCATATACAACTCTTCTCTGCTGTGCCCACATACTGCTCTTCCCTGCTTTGCCCACATACTGCCCTCCTGTCCTGTGCCAACACACTGCCCTGAGCGGTGCCCCTATACTCTCTTCTGTCCTGTGCCCACACACTGCTCTTCTGTGACCACATACTACCCTTCTCTGATGTGCCCACAGAAGGGCAGAGGTAGGATCAGTGGGAAAGTGCTGGAAAGACACGGTCACTTTGCCCTGAATGGCCTAGGTGACCGGGTCTCCATGTCAACCTTCCCAGTCAACACACAAGTCCAAAGCTGATCTAAACCCGAGTGTATTGCAGCTTTTTATTTCCACCTTGTGATCCTGTCAGTAACTTACTTCCTGTCCGCGGGTGACAACACTCATTGTACTGTATTTATGAAGGAGCAGCACTGTCACCCTAGGGTAGGACTACAGAACACTTCCTCCCTCCTCATCACCATGCACAGACCAAAGGGGAGCAAATAAGAGAAGACCAATTTTAGGGTTTCAGACACTTGCAGCCTTACAGCTCAGGAGGAGAGAGGGGGACAAGAGTCATTGCACTGTGCTTTCATGATCGTTACTTTCACACGGATTATTTATCTGTCTCTCAACAGATATTTCACTCTCTCTCTCTCTCTCTCTCTCTCTCTCTCTCTTACAAATAAACATGTGACATGTGACAAAGGGGCTCCAGGAGCACTCTGGGTTATCTAAGGAGAGCACAGAGCCTTGCTTTGCAGCTCCCTTTCTCTGATTGAAACCTCCAGCTGAATAGAGACGATTGGGAGTATTGTAAATTTGTTCGCAGCTAAAAATGTATCATCATAAGATCTGAAAAGGAAACTACAGCGCCACCTGCTGGTGGAAAAACAGACTATGTACTATGAATATGCAATATTTCACATATACCCGACTAAAAATATTTGTTTTGGCTTTTACCATAGACCGAAAGATGATCTGTACAAAACAAATACAATCCCATTGAACTAAAGCAGATTGGGGGATATGTCTATGACCTTCCAATGGGATGGGGGCAGTAATAACAGAGGGACTATAGGCCGAGGTCGCCGTCATTTAGCACAGTTTAGAGCAGGGGTAGCCAAACTTAGGCCCTCCAGCTGTGCTGAAACTACAAATCCCATGATGTATCCCTCTCTGGGTGTCATGTCTGTGGCTGTGGGAATCTTGCAATGCCTCATGGGATTGGTAGTTTTACCACAGCTGGAGGGCCAGAGTTTGGTTACCACTGGTTTAGAAAAAGGAATTTGGATGATCACAGACATCAGAATGCTCATTTCTCCTTTTGTTTCATATTCTGATTGAACCTCAGGAGGATTAGTCCTTGAGGGACCAGCAGCCTGAAACTGGTTCCCATCACACCCCAATATGAGATCCTGCTGAGTGCTCAGAACCCGGACTGGTCTCACCCTCTGGATGAGAGGCTGCAGGCTTCATGACACATGAGCTGTCTATGAGTAACGTCCTCACACGTCTGGTCTGCCATCTTGGGGGACACACACCCAGCAGACAGCACGGGAGTAATATTTGTGACTGCTGGGTGCACCTTCAATGCAGTATTGTTGCTTTG